CAACCGCCCGAAGCCCTAAGCCCCTAAACCCCAAAGCCCGAAAGCCCCTACAAACCCTAAACCCTTTGTAAACCCTAAGCCCTCAACCCCTAGACCCCTTGTAAACCCTAAGCCCTAAACCCCCTATAAACCCCAAACCCTAAACCCCTTGTAAACCCTAAGCCCTCAACCCCTAAACCCCTTGTAAACCCTAAGCCCTAAACCCCCTATAAACCCCAAACCCTAAACCCCTTGTAAACCCTAAGCCCTCAACCCTATAAACCCCAAACGCTAAACCCCTTGTAAACCCTAAGCCCCTAAACCCGAACCTCAGCAGCCAGGCGAGACCGCCGGTGTCCTGGAGCCCGAAGATCCACAGCCGGGGGAGGACGCCCTTGTTTTGGGTTTAGGGTTTAGGGTTTAGGATTTTTGGGGTTTGGGGGTCTTTGGTGTTTAGGGGCTTAGGGTTCATTTCAAGTTTTAGGCTTCAAGTTGAAACGGCATAGATCTCTCAGGAAGCTCTTAGAGCACCCCAATCAGACTAACTAAGACCCGCATGAAACTCTATATCAAAACATAAAGAACCATTATACATAGTCTTAGTAGATGCGACCAGCGATGTCTAGGTCCGGCAGTTTTGCGGGGCTGGTATTTCCAAGAATTTTGAGTGTTCCGGTTACTCGTTCGGGTATTGGGTTCTAGTAGGCCTTGCTGTTCTCCTGAGTAAATGTCCATTTTTTGGAGCACAGGAATCCAGGAAAAGGTGCGCAAGGGGTGTTTTTATTGCTTCTTTGTAGCTTGCAACGATTGGCAAGCAGGGGTTGCATGCGCAAGCTTTTCTTGGTTCGTGTTGGAGTGGGGCGTGGTCGAATGTGCGCATCGGTGGAACCTCAAGAAACAAAAGCTTAATAAAACGCGCAAGCCGCGGGAAAAAGACTTCAACAGCCTTTGACGAGAATTGATGAGGACCTGCACGTCTCCCGAAGAGCCCAAAGTGCTCGTTGCATGTCGTGGGCAACCTGCAGGTTGCATTGCGACGACATCAACCCTGCACGTGCGTTAGGTTTCGGCTGGGAGTGTCTGTTTCTTTATGCTGGCATGGGGCATCTGCATGAATCTGCCCTCAGTAAAGCGCCACAGACTTCATCCGAAACTCTAAACTGCACTGTTCCCCTAAACTCTAAACCCTAAACCCTAAACTTTAAGCCCTCAATCCTAAACCCCGAAGCCCGTAAATCGATGCCCCCATCCCTGGCCAGACCGAGACTTGCAGTTCTCTGTCTTTTTTTGGGCTTCTAGAACCTCCCCATGTCCTAAATGGGTAGTTCTCTACATCAGGGTCCAATTTTAAGTCCCCAATATAGTATGGCGCCCTTGGAAAAAGGACCCCTGATTTAGAGAACTACCCAAATACGAAAACCCGTAAAGACCTAAAGCCCCGTAAGGTCCTGCAGCCCTGAAGCCCTTACGCCCGAAACCCAGAAATCACGCAGCAGGACCATCCCTTCGTCCACCTCTTCTTCTACTTCGTGGCATTTGGCCTCCTGGATGTCAGTCGGTGTAGGGCTTCAGGGGTCTAAGGGTTTAGGGGTTTAGGGATTGCCGGGTTGGATTTAGGCTGCACTCACAGATTCGGTAACTTCAGACCAGAACATGGAGGTATTTCTCATGACTATCAGTATCCTCCGTGGTCACTATGACTTTTGGTGTGAGCTTATGCACGGAATATTCTATCCGGATGAGTAAGATCGGGGAGTACCGGGTACCGGTCTCTCGGGGACAAAATGAGTCTGTGGCACTTCTCTCTGAGTTCAAGAGGCCTCAGCGCAAACATCCTAAGCAATCCCCAAAGCACAAGCATTCCCTAACTGCAAAAATCCTCCGTCGCAGATCCTACAGCCCTGGACGTTTAGGCGTGTAGGGTTACTTGGGCTGTACAAGGTTATTCAGGGCTCAAAGGAGTGTAGAGTTGAAGATGTAGGTTTCGGGCGCAGGGTTTGGGAGCAGGTTTTCACGCTTTAGGGTTTAGGGGGTTCCCCTTCTGGGTTTGATTTAGGTTTGGGGCGTAGGGGTTTGTCTGGGTTTTTGGGGTTATGGCTTGCCAGAATATTATCATACAGAAGCCACAAAGATGAACCTTCGGTCTTCGAGAGCTTTGTGCCATGTCATGTCAGGGAACCGAACAGGGATAATTCCTTTCCTGAGCTGGGTTTCTCTGCATCAAGGCGCTAAGATCAACCGTATCTGCGCATGATGCTATCCTTAAACCCTCAGCCCTAAACCTACACGAACCACGATCGAGGATCCCTGCTCGGGACCAGCAAAGCTTTCGTATTTGCGAGGTTCAGGGTTTAGAGTTTATAAGGTTTAGGGTCCGGTGTTTCGGATTTAGGGCTTGGGGTTAGGGCTCAGGGTTTGGGTTCAGGGTTTCTTGTATAGTGTGTCTTCTAAATTACTAGGCTCCTATATTGGGCAGTTCGGCTTTTAGGGGGTTGCTCTGCGAGATCATGAGGCATAACCATCGTGCAGATGAACCTCTTCATCGGCAACTTTGCTTATGGTGAGGCACCAGTTTCTTGAGTTTGGGGTTTAAGGTTTAGGGGTTAGGGTTTATAAGGTCTAGGGATAGTTTAGGGGTTTAGGGTTTGGGGTTTAGGCTCTGCACAGGTTGGGGGAACTTACGGCTCAACATTCCCGCATCGTGTTTCAGATGTAGCCATGAACTGCCTATAGTCTCCGTTGTAGTTCCTTGTTTTTGGTTTAACCAGATCTATATTAAGGATCCTAAAAGGTAACCCCCAAAAAGGAACTACAACGGAAACTATAGGTGGTTTGGGATTGCCTGGCAGTGCCTACCTCTCAATGCAGATAAGGGCCTGAAAAAAAGTTCCATACATACACGATTTTTCGGGGAATCCCTGTTTGAATTGTACATGTAGAATAATATACCCGAAATTAACATTATTCTAATTATTAAGGCCCTTATATGATGTAAACTTCTTGGAATCGCAGATTCGATCCGTCTTGGAAAGCTTGAACACTTTGGGCCCGGCTATTTATTATGTAAGAAGAGGGGGAAGGTGGGCATAACGCGCATAGAAGCGTAAAGCGGAATGCCCGTCAACAGCCAACAAAGTCACGGGCTCTTCTTGTTGTTTTTCACTCCAAAACCCTGGGTGAGAAACTTCGGCGGCCAAGCAGGCTCGTGAAGGAATTGGTGTTGGAGGAGTTCAGCTGTTCCATGCTTGAGTGCTATGACGAAGTACGACAAAATCACTACTGAGCCGTTGGTTAGTCTTGGAGTGCAGCCTCAGCTGTGAGAAAAACACAATCAAGACTACTTCTAACCCCATCTAACATACTCGTACTGCTGATGGACAAAATCCTGCTAGACCCTTAACACCCCAAACCCTAAACCCAAGTACCCCGAGCCCCTAGACCCTCAACCCCAAAGTCACCCCCCCAAAACCTTAAAGAGCCCTAAACCCTAAACCCAAGTACCTCGATCTGGATGCCGAAAGCAATCAATCTTTCGGGCACCCCATTGAGGAAACTCCACTCTCCTAACATCAAGGCTCCATGCCTAGGGGTTTAGGGGTTTAGGGT